GAGTTGTAAAAGCACTGCTGAATAAGCAGGTGACGTAATAATAATGCAACGTGATATCTGTATTAAAATATAGTTGCTTAACAACAGCTTGGAGCTACCTAATGTGGTATTTCAAGTTCACCTCAGCTTTTCTAAAGCAAATATGAAGGTAAAAATGGCAGCATTTCCAGCTAATGATGTGTGCAACTACGCAAAGATAATCTAGATATGTGCTACGGCTATGCTCATAAGCCAATAATTTTCACAACAGGAGGTCTGTTGATTGCCCTTGACATGGAAAGAATCCTAAATTTTAAGCACAGCTTTCTTCCTCCTTTGAATTCTTGTAGCTGTATGTTATGTTGTCAGCTTAATGCAATAGATTATTTCTGGCGAAACTAACCTTGTAATATTGTGACACCAATGAAATGTTTTATTTATTCAATAGCAAATAATTTTCTGGGTTTGCTTTACTTCCATGTTGGAAGCGCTCTGGAAAAGCGTCGCTGTAATATAAGATGGGGGAACACACAAAATGGAGTAGCTGGTATTTTAAAACACCTCGGTCAGACTGCAAAAGCCTAGATAATAAGCCACGTAACTAAAACAGGGAAATTACATTCTTACCTTTTTAGATTTTTAACTTATGGTTAAGTGCCCGTATCATACGCCATGTTCAGAGCTGTTCTGAAGTCCAACCTGTTTGATCCCTTTCTCCCGCTTTTACTGACAGCAAGGGCTATGCCTGGATTACAGTTACTACTGTGCAGAAGACTCACAATAAAACCTGACAGTATATAAACATTTATCCAAATTGGACGTTCATTAAAAGGGAATTCAATCCTTCTGGTCTCACGACAGATTTTAAATGAAGCTGAGCAATGCTGGTATCATTTTTTAATCAACTAAGTGTAAAAATGGAAAAAAATTTATGCATAAAAACAAGCAAGACCACCAAGCTCAAAATGCATCAGAACAAGATGGATACATCAAAATTAGATTGTCCTATGAAATCTGAAAACTCTGGGAGAGTAACCACAGCAGTGCTCTTTGGATGCATGCGTACAACCTGCTGTAATTTGGTTAACTGGGAATGATGTTTTGTTTACTGTGCATTTGTGAGTCTATTCTTTCACTGTTGTTAGAAAACTTATTCAGGTTTTATACTGCTTCCTTCGTGAAGGAGAACTGAAGGGCAGGAACAAATGGCAAAAGGAATATCTCATCCTACATACTCAAATCTATAAAAAGGACATTAGAGTTCATTGCCAACACCAAGATTTCCAGTGCATACACAATAGTCTTAATGGCTTCTTTCAGAAGAGAAATTTGAGTGCAATCCTCTTCTCCCCTCAAAAGTTTTAGCCGCTCATTCATCCAATGTTTTCCAGTCCTAAATGGGTAATCAGAAGAAAATGAAGGGACTATAAAGAAAAAAAAAAAAAAAAACAACACAGAAGGATTCATGCCAAAAGAACCCCAACCCCAAAAACCCAGAGTGACTTGAGATAGGGTCTTGGAAATAAAATTGTACAGACTTCTGTACAAAAACTTCTTTTTTTCAAGCCTGCATTATGTAATACCCAGTTAAATGCCGATGTGTCACTGTTGACTATGTACTTGATTTGTTTTGTGTAAATAACAAATAAAAGCACCCTCACCGTTCAGCTTAAATTCTCAAGAAGGCAACAGGGGAAAAAATTTCAGCATATGGAGAAGCTAAATATGAAGTTTCCTTACTGTTGACCAACCCTATCCTTAAAACAAGCTCGTGTGAAACCATTCACAAAAATAAATACTGAAGTCACACTTTTAAAATAGCACAAACAACATCCAGAGTATCTTGCTTGTTACCTAACCACGCGGGAGAACTCTGCCAGTTTACATCCCCAGGCAAATTTTCACCAAGAGACAATGTGTAAAATGTAGACATTCAAACAAAAATGGAATTATAGAATTTGAAACTATAACCATTCCTATATTTTTTTCCTCTAGTTGTCAACTAAGCTAAAAAAAAAAATCCCATGACTTCAGGACACCTCCTCTGTAGATGGATAAGAATGGAAGATGCGTGAGCAGGGCTGCTTTAGACCTCTCGCCCTTTACCAAGGGTGCATGCTAGTCCCACTCTCCGCAATTACAGGTTCAAACTAGATAAGGCATGTATCTCACAAAACAGAAAAAAGCTACAGAGCCAGTGCCCTACAACATCCAGCTGCCAATGTCATTACTGACTGCTGGAGTTCGACATGTGCTCGTCTCCTCCTATTGTCCAACAAGAGCGTGATGAATTTTGTCAAGTCTGAAAGCTGCTTGAACCGCCAGTTGAGACTGTTTGCATCGACAGTATGGTTCATGAGGATACAGAAGAGGTCCAGGATGTAACTCAAATATTTATTAATTGCTATCAAATTGCCTTTTTTTTTGCTTTAACAATCATTAGCATGTTTGTCCTTAAACATGTACACACAAGAACAACTGCACAACTGCCTAAGCATATCAGCTACTGACACTCTTTAAACCTGACAAAGTGGGACGAAAGTTTTCTGCTACATCAAGGTCTTCTATCTGCAGCTGTTCCACATGGCAAATTCCCATTTCAGTAAATTGGTGCTCTGTTCCCAGAACAGATGCAAAATCAAACTCCCAATGAGAATACACAATGCAGCCTGATTCTAAGAACAAAGTATCATTTCACTCTCTAAGTCTTCATAATTCTGTATTCAAATGATTCTTTTAATTGCAATGGGGATTCCATAACCCTTTCATTCTCAGCGAAAATTACTTGTCTTCTAGTTAGAGGACAAACACCATACATCAATATTATATTTTTCTGTATGTGTACATTCTAGCTGCTATTTCAGAGCACGGTTCTAGGCTACAGATAGAGAAAGACCTGCATCCCACTCGCTGCAGCACTAGCCCCGACAGAGACAGAGTCTGTTACCAAGGTAGAGATTCAAAATTTGAAGGTCAAATTAAGAGGTTTCTCTTCATTAATGACATACATATCAGTACCATAACAGGGATGCTGAACAAGCTGCTGCTTGCAGTGCTGAAGGTCCTTATAGAATTAAACAAAGCATTATAACTAGTTTAATCACCTTTTAAATTTTAAAATGTGTCTTCTCTTGCTGTATGAATTTTTATTGCCTTATACATGTATTTTCGTGTTGCACACTTCAAAGTACCCACTGAACTAAGCAGATGTTTAATTCCCAGAGAATGTGTCAATGCCTGAAACCTGCACAAGCAATGCAAATCTGTTACACATGGGAGCTAACAGATTCACAAATGATACCCGTATTTCCCTGTGGAAGAATAGCACAAGAGAAGGTGATGAAAAAATTTCACTCTGCTGGAAAGAATGAAAACTCAACACTCTGGCTTGTTTAGTTAAGAGCAAAAGCTCGGAGGGAAAAGCTTCTAACCATTAGTCAGACTGCGGCATTAGAATCACAGCAAATAAACAAGAATTTGGCAAAGGCAGACAACAGGAAAGATCTTGAAAGTCAAACAAAAAAAAAACCCAGCTCTCTTATGAGCTACTCCTGCAGATATTTAAAAGTTTAATCCATACAGTTTACTGAAACAGTCTGTTCAAAGAAATTAGCTAATAAATTTACCAGCCTAATTAAAAATTCTCATATATATCCATTTCTCCCTGCTATTCATTTGTATCATTTATGTCCGGTTTGAATATCCTGGCAATGAAAAATGCTTAAATATTCGAGTGATATAATTCCCTTGTTAACAGCTCATGACACTTCCAAGAAAGACTGGAAATCACACACCTGCTTTGAGAAAAAAAAACAAACCCACTTTAAAAAGTTTTATAATGGAAGTTGAAAAAGTCATCATTTTTCCATGATGAATGACTCATCATGTTTAATTCAAGAAGCATGCCATAAGAAAACATAAAATAAAGAGGGGAAATGAATGGTCATTGTAGCGTATAAAAGTGAATGGGAAAAAGTTACCAGCACAGTATTAAAAATAAAAATCTTAGGAAAATTCTTCTGATGATAAGCAGACTTGCACCAACCTTTAAATGCATAAATTTCTACTTTCAAACCAGGCATATATGATTTTGTGACTTCTTTTTCTACTTTCAGTGGGATTTAGCAGCTTAAGTCCCAAATCATTCAGGCAAGTTTCTGAGTATCTTAGGTGCTTTTTATTATTTATATTAGAGATGTCTACATATTTAGATGCTCAGTTTAGAATTTGGGCGTATAAGCGTCTTAGATATACCTTCTGTATGCCAAATACAATATCGTAGGAGTACAGGTTTTCATTTTGGACCGCTTCTATTTAAAAGATTGTTTGAATAGTTCAGAATTTCTTTTATTCTCATCTTTAGGAAGACGTTAACCGTATTCCTTCTGCATATTACTCCCTTTTACTGGCCACTACATCTAGAATAGTTACATTTGGTGATCTGGTTTTCTTTTCTGATATTCTTTTAAATACATTTGAGATGGTCATAGACATGAACAGAAGTTCAGGAGCATAAAACCGTACAACAGCTATATAGCAGGTGCAGATGGCTATTACAGGCCATTTTATCTTGCAGTCATTAGACTTAAACGCTAAATCTTAAAACTACTAACTGAACTCTTCCTCTCTCTCAATGAACAGTGCATACAGCTATTGTCAAAGCTCTACCCAAAGTAAAGGAACGCTTCTGGTATGCAGAGGAACATAAGATTTTAATATGTAAAAAAGAAAACATTAATCCTTACTTGTTTACATGATTAGAGAATAGAATATTGAAGATTTTTCTTATCTATAAAAGTAAACCAAATGTTGCTTTTTGTATTTCCGTATTTGTATTTAGAAATATTACAGACTAGTAAAAAAAAAACCAAACCAAAAAACCATCAACTGTGAGGGATGCAATCGAATTGGAGGCAAATTCCATTGCTTTATAACATTCTAAGTCTGAATGTCTATTTTTTCTAATCCTGTCTCCCTTGGACAGAAGGCTTTTTTTTGCAACTTCTTCCCAAACGACTTACCGGCAGTGTTTATGTGATCCTGTTAAGGTTTCAATCACAAAGCATTCCCCTTCATTGAGACAATATGCAAGATCCTTGTCTTTGCATGGCTTAAAGTGCTCAGATCGCTCAGTGGAATACGTTGTAGTATCTATGGAGAAAACAAAAAAAGGAAAGAAATGCTGTAAGGCTAAATATTGAATGTTCTTAAAGTATATGTTAAATAAATTTGATCAAATTGGTCTCAGTAACATCAACTGATCAAGACAGACTAATTAACAGAAACCAAAAGCACAGGGCAAGCAAACTTCAATGTGACTGCAATGTTATTTGCAATCAAGCTTCTTAAAAGATTCACAAAAGGAATCTTCTATTTGGAAATATCAGCAGAAAAACGAACTAGACTGCAGCAAAGTTGAGTATAATTTCAGCCACTTCCAATTTCCAAAGTATCCCTTCTAAAATGTAAACACGGCTATTTTGTATTCTCTAACCAGAACAATATTTTCATATTAATACACTGAAATATGGTTTTAATGCACTTTTTTAATGAAAAATGAGCAAACATAGTTAATATAGTAACAACCTAAAAAAACCAAAACCACCCAAACATAAACCCCACAACAATGAAAGAAAAAACAAAGCCAAAAACCTAAGGACAATGCTAATTTGATTCACCAGTCATAAAAATTGGCCCAGAACTTAAACACAAGCAATGTGCCATAGATTGTTTCATTTCAGGTACATCATCTGTAGGTTTCTGTAGGTCCATCTGAACATCCCCCACAGCACAGTTCAAAAAAAAATTGATTACAGTTTGGACTACTGGCTGTAACTTTGGAATATGTAGTTAGATAATCTAATCTGGAATAGGTTGACAGCGTGTCAGGGTGAACTATCATTCCTGTCTTCTAATATATCTCTTTAAAGAGAAGGTTTTTTTCTAATGAAGCGTCATTTTCAAAGTACACAATGACTTCCACAGAGCCATGGCTCAGTCTTCATATACAGTCTTAATTCTCAAAGTTAAAATTCCTACTAACTTCGCAGGGACAAGGACCAGGATCTAACATACTAATACATACTAGAATTATAAGACAACATTTCATTATATACCACACAGACTATCACAAAATATTCTGCTGCCTGCTGTCAAAGGAATGAAGCTGTGCTCAGTGGAACTTTGCAAACTCAAAATTATATAGACACATTAACTTGCTTTCTGCTCATAACTCGATACAAAGTAAATGTCCGCCAAGCTAATACCAAAGTTGAAAACCAGAACACTGAAATACAATTCACCTGGAAGTATGGTTCTGCAAGAAAACTCAGGTAATTCCAAAAATCTTTCAAAGTAACTTTTTTCATTCTTAGTGTATTTTAAATAAAATAGTGCTAACAGCTTTTCCTTGTTCTCCAGACTAAGTGAAGGAAGATTAATAAAATACATTTGAAAAGAATAAGAAAATCCACATCCTAATCTTTGTATACAACACCTCCCCCCCCCGAGAGAAAGTATTTCAGTTCGAAGTTTTCAGTGGAGACAAAAAAAATCCTGGGAATAAACTCCAACAGCCTCCCTTCAAACGTTTTTGTAGATTCAGAATGAAAGGTCCTGCCATTTTCCCCGATAGCAGCACTTACAAAAAAGGCGCAGGCTATATAAAAACTACCATGTTTTTAATGACTGCAAGCAGACCCTGAAATGAAATGTATCAAATTGAATTTTGGAAATGATACAAGATGTTTGTAAATGCAAAGAGTTACTATCACATCACTTGACATTTCAAGAATGATCTGGCTTTATGCAACAAAAATATCTTCAGGTAGAAAAAAGGTAGCCCAGTTACCTTCTAAGGTCGATTTTACACAGGAGCACTTAAATGACCATTTAAAATTTGCTTAGGCAAAAAAAATTAAATATAAACAACAGTCATCAGACATAGAATCATAGAAGAGTTTGGGTGGGAAGGGACCTCGAAAGTTCATCTGTTCCAACCCCCCTGCCCTGGGCAGGGACATCTTCAACTAGATCAGGTTGCTCAGAGCCCCGTCCAGCCTGACCTGGAATGTTTCCAGGGATGGGGCAGCCACCACCTCTCTGGGCAACCTGGGCCAGTGCTTCACCACCCTCAGCGTAAAACATTTCTTCCTTAGATCTAGTCTAAATCTATCCCCCTTTAGTTTAAAGCCATTCCCCCTTGTCCTGTCGCAACAGGCCCTGCTAAAAAGCATGATATTTCTATCCCTTTTGAATAAGGAAAACTGAAGATAATATTATTTGAAAGCACTTGTGTTAATTACAAAAGGTAACTAAAACTGTTTGATGAGCAGCAACTCAACTTAATATGGCTTTAGAGAACAAAACGCTTACATTCGCCAGCCTGCTCTGAAGAAACAATCCGTGCAAATACCTTTATGAAGGCAGTTGCATAACATAGACCAAAGTCATCTGAGATGTCCCCAAAGCACAAGAGCAAAACTAAGGAGACACACAGTATCGCAAAGCGTGTCTTCGAGGTAGTGACGTATTGAATTCTCAGAGCGCAACGTTTGAAGTGCAGGATACTCCGCTCCTACCATAACTAACTCAAAATAGCTTGTCAAGGTCAGCATTTTGAAGTTTTAGATTAAATATATTCTTCAGAGGTTTTCTTCTGTTTTATTTTAATCATTTCTCTGTTCAATAGTATTCAAGATTAAATCAAGTCCACAGCAGCAATTTTTGCCAATTCAGCAGTGTCAGAGCAGAGCTCAGACTGAGCACCGTGACATTTTACACTGGCAAAAGTGCCACTGAAGATACAGCTACAGCACAACTTAATTTGAGTACTAATGGAAATTACACCAGTAATTGGACCTCTCTGCTGATATAAATTGTTAACAAACTATGGTCAGCCATTGCAGCAAGCCAGCCTTCCAGGACTGGAGTTTCCGACAGAGGAGTGATGTTGTGCTCTGCCCGTGTGGAGCGATGCGGAGCTGGAGTCAAAACGCTCCGCTCAAAGCCCTGTCTGTTTTATTTATAAACAGGCATAAGTTGTGATACTTCATATTCTCCACTTGGACATGATTTCAAGCTTTTCTTACATTGTTTTCAGTTCTGTCTCTGGTCTTTCAAATTAAGCACGACAGTTGTAGGTAACAACGATGCTGACACCTTCTTATGACGGCCGAGGAAAGCACTCCTTATGGCAAAAAGTACACAATAATTAGTACTACTTTTTTTTCTTCTTTTAAACGAATACATTCTCATTAAAAGTCAGTTTTAAGTTATAGCCTTTTCTGTAAATATCTGTGCAAGTCTAACCAGGTTGATGCACATGGAAACATCTGTCTCTGTACAGCCGATCTCTGGTCTGCAAAGACCAGACGTCTTGGCTGCAAAGTTCATTCACTAACATTCAAAAGCTGCGTTACTAATTGATATCCTAGATATCCCCAGAGCTGTTTGGTATTTTCTGCTGGATATACTCACATACAGGATATGTGAGTTTTCTAAAAGGTTACAGTCCTGCTGTTATTTCATGTTGCGCTCATGATGAAACAAACTCTGTTACAGCTTCATTAAATATTGAAAAAAACTAAAATCTAAAAACTTGTTCTAAACAGAACTACAGAAAAACAAAACAACAGAAAACACTGTAGAGGCTATACAGTTTTCTTGATTCTTTTTCTAATAAATAATAAATCCTATTGTCTTATTTGCTCCCCTGCCCCTCCCCCCCCCCCTTTTTTTTGGACTCCTAACCAAATACTGAATTGACTTTTCCATGGTTGAATTGTCCTTCATAGCTTCAGAAGCCTGCCAGTATCCACCATTCTATTGTCAAGTTTGGTTGTTTTTTTTTTTTTTTAAATAACTGATAAAACCTAGGCATTCACAAAATTACTAGTACAGCCCCTTAATTTATTTCTAGTCTTTGAACATGGGTAACAGACCCAAACATTTACAGGTAACAAAAGGGAACTCCGGTTCAAAAAAAATGTCCTTGAATTCAGTACACAAATGGCAATAATCCATAATCCCTTAAGGTCGTCTTTTTTCTTTTTCTTTTTTTTTTTAATTGCCAAGTGTCCAGGTGTTTCATGCAGAAGCAGCAGGGGCTACTGATTTCTGCTGGAATCTTTCCAACCAAATTGGAATAAAGAATTTCTAGGCACTTTTGCTCTATTTTTCTTGCCTCACTTTATCAGCAAAGCTTTACGCATGATTCCCATACTCCAAAAATGAATATACCATTGCCAAGTCTCAAATATCACTGTTTAATCAAATGAAATGAATTCAGTTCACATTTCAAAGGAAGGCTTCAAGATCTTTTATTTAGAACCATGGAGTTGGTTAAAAAAAATGCAGTCATTCGGGAATGTTGAAAAAAATTCAGTAGGAAGTTTTCAGATGTTATTTTCTTTGGTTAAGGTCTAAAGCTTGGTCTGAAGAAGTGTTAGTGACTTTGTATTCTTGTCTCATTAATCTATTTCATCATGTTTATACCAGCACAGGATGGCTCATTATAGCTAATTCATTGAACGATCTTCAAGGCATAATATGGATACTATAAATACCATCTCCTCCTTCAAGGCTACCAGATTCATTGTCTCCAGTACTATGCTCTGATATTAATAAACCTGTAATTGCAAAGGGCAAATGCAGGAAAAGAGAGAATGCAAGATTTAAAATACCCTGGGAAACAGCGGCATGCGTGGCAGCTGTTTCCGTGCAGACTGCAGCAGCAGCAACCATTCCCACCCATCACATCTGTCTCGCAGCACTCTGGCTTTAGAAACAGATTTTACTCGACACATCTCAAATAAAAAAAAGTTTTCCATGCTAGCTTTAAGTGACACCCACACCGCACGCACCTCATCGTAAACACTTTTTCCAGATAGACAGCCTTAGCTAGAAAGAGTGCAAAAAATGACCTAGGAGAACAAGAGATGAGAAGACCCAGCTTAACGTCTCTGAAGTCACTAGCGGACAGGCATCCAAATTTGTAGCTACGTCGTAACATTCACTTATTAACACAGGTATGGCAACTACCTAGTGCATTACCAAGGAGGAATATTTAAGATGCGATATTTGGTTTAATGCCAGAGCTTACACACTGAAAGACTTCTTAAAAATACTGCATATTTTGACTACCATTGGGCATTACCGGCTTTATAGATTCAGTATCAACATGCAAATTAGCTTTTCCTTTATCTTCTTGTCTATTTATAACTGATCATTTCTCTGAGAACCACTGACTTACTGAGGCACCAAAAAAGTGAGATGCTTATTTTAAATCACTGATCCCATTTTTAAATGCACTACAAAAAAGTAAGCCAATTACAAACAACTGGACTTCCTCTGACAATGCAACTCCAGTTACCAAAAAAAAATCCTTCTCAAAAAACCCCACCATTTTTTACAATATATTTTTATATCACTGTTGCATTCTATAAAGAAGGTAACATAACAGGTCATTTAATAGCATACAGAGAGTTAAATTTTATGTTCAGTGACATCAATGGCAAAATATTTACAATGACTCAGTATAACCAGGGTTCCCTGCAGTTCTTAAGAGGATGATGTAGTGCTTCTCCCCTGATATTTTAGAGTTATGTGGTAGCCCTACTAGAAAGGATCCTGCAAAAAATGAAAATTACACACAGAACAGTTAATATATTACTTTGTTTACTCACAATACCTTGAATCTTAAAAAAACATACAACCTAAAATTTTTATTCCTGTGCTTTTAGAAGTAAACGAAAGGTGGGTAGGGGGAGAAGATACCAAGCCCTAGCAGGATATTCATTAAGGGAGAAGGAGTGGAAAACTTAAATACTACTTGCAAGTGGTTGTTATGGTTTAGCCTTAGCTGGTGGAAACTCTTTCTTAAGTTGTGGCTTTTTGGAAAGT